TAATATAGCTATGCAACGTAAATCATGTCAATAAATATATGATATATGTTTATATAAATTATTTCTGATATAAACATAATAAATCATGTATATCACTTGTTGAAAATTGACATGTTAACTCGACATGATTTTGTATTTTATCAATATACATTGATATAGAATCTATTAATGCAATTGAATATGGTTGATTATTAGAGCATGATAAAAGACTTTTTTACATAAATTATATTAGATGTTGTTTCAATGTCATTTTAATTTGTTTCATTTGATATTAATCGTTATGTTGATAAAATACTAAGGATAAGACAATGAGATGCATTTGATATAACGATGCAAAATCCTAGGAAAACAAAAAAGGAACAGATTTATATTGTTTCTTATTTTCTCAAATCAATTTTCATTTACTATAAGAATCATCCTAAAAATTTTATGCTATGGAAAAAAGCCAATAGGTTTTCGGAGTTCACGAGTTCAAACTTATAGAAAGTTTATCGAAATTCTCGAATGCAATTTATTTCTAAATATTATTTTCGGTTGTAAATAAATAACACAATCGAAAACATCTTACGAAATATAATATTAGAAAGACATCGTTTTCTTTAACTGTAACAGTACAAATAGCACGACTGAGAATTTGATCAATAAGATTCGAGAGGAATTATTCGGTCATTGTACTAATGTAGCTTAAATGCTTTCCTTTACGATTTGTATTACCTGAAATTCTGCATATTTTCTATTTCAAAATATTTTTCGAAGTTTTGAATTATTCAAAAGTCTCATCTATTACTAGCACATAAACAATGTCAATGTAAAAAAAAACATTTCTTTTCATTTGATTAAAATTTTTATTATACATATATATATTTATTTCGATCAAATTAAACTAAAATATACCGGTGACATCATCAATGGTAATCAGTTTTCATAAGTTACATTTTTAAGCATTTGTGCATAAATTTTTCTTGTTATATCTATAGGATAATTAAGATTATTAAAATCTTCTTTAATAATATCAATTGATGTTGTTATTGATAATATTTATAAAATTTATGGTATATATTTAGGTTATAATTGTTTATTTAATGGTAATGGAAGAAATTGTTCAATTAATAAAACTAATACAAGACCACTTTCATCTAAATCTATTCCTTCACAAACGAATAAAAGACTTGCAACTGATGTACGATGTATAAGATCAAATAAATTATGTCCATATGTACATGTATCACTTTGTTCAAATAAAAAATAATAATAATAATTGATAATGTGTTGTTATTGATGTAAAATGTTCAACATATAATTCATGATGATATATTAAATCACAATAAGATTGTAATTGACCACTGATAGATAAATGTATTCTTGATGATGATGGTGTTAATATCGGTGACCAGCATGCTTCTTGTGTATAATCAAGCATATTCAGAATGTGTCCATTGTAATAATAATGATATATAAAATGATAATCATAATAATTTAAAACATTCACTTAAAATAGTTAAAAATGAAAATGTCTCAAGACAATGTACAGTTTCATCATGAATTCATAATTGATGAAAATCATTTACAATTGTTCGAAATTGTTTAGCCAAAATAAAATTATAGATCTTATATAAGCATAGGAATTTTAAAGTCAAATGTTTTTCGCTAGGTCATTAGTAATTAATGAATTGTAGGAAAGTTTTATCTTCAAATTAATAGATAATATGTTACTATCATATAGATTATGATGAAAGCTGAAGCTCTTTTGACTTTGATAGAAACCAGTTTTTATCTGTTCAGTTAGTCCATAATATTACATAAGTATATAAAGATAATCGGATGCAAGAGAAACTAATGTCATATCGATTTGATCACGTAATTGCCGAGTATTAGTTAAAATTCGAAGAAGAGTTCTGAAAACAAAAACGAGAATAATACTTGTTAAATTATAAATAAAATCATTTCGAATACTTACGCACTAAACGTTTCATCTCGTGTTCCATTAACTGATAATAAAACATCATTCTATCGTGTTAATATAGCATCTTCAGTTAAATTTTGTACAAGACATTGAAGTATTATATTTATATTGATTAATTATCGATTTGTAGATTGACAATTGACATTCTAAAAAAAAGGTTTTGAACTACAGGAAAATTTTATAAATAAAAACAACGGACATTTCTATTTACGAATGCTCGAAAAGCAATAACAAATGGATCAATTGATCGTAATGCAACTGATGAGACAACATCAAATAGTGTTAATTGTGTGGAATAAATATCCAAAAGTGATTGATCCTATTTGAACAAAAAAAAAAGTAACGCAAAATCAGAGACTATTAAAACAAACAAATAACTTGAGATTGTAAATGAGCAAGAAGTAAATCGACAATTTGTCGTGAAAGACGTTTCCATTTATCATCTTCAATTTGAACACTATTAACAATAACTGTGAACAATCGTAAATCCTATAACAATATAAATTCTATTATTATTTTTTCAGTAAATACACATGATATGAAAAGATACTTGTATTTTTTAATAATTAAGACGCCTAGTTTTCCTTCAAACTCAAATACATAACTAAAGATTACTGTCTCTAAATCTTGTTGAGTTCTGGACATCAACAAGATGATTATTTTCAGATCATCGATTCGTTGAAGTGTGGGTGTGGGTTCAATCGAGGAGAAAAATTACATCTACAAATTCACACCCTCGAAAATGTTTTTTTTTTGCTTCCTACCATGTGTTTCAGATTCATGTCCACTTGCTAATAATGAATCATAATGTTTTATTAAATCTTGTATTTTAATAACTCGTTTTGAATGAAGTGTATCATGTGATAACATAACAAGAAATTCAGCAATACAATAAATAAAATGCTATTTAAAAATAAATGAAACGATTAGAAATGCAACGAATTTCATCAGCTTCTAATTAATCATAATTAACACGAATTAAAAGTAATTGAACAAGTAAATCGAGTACAGCAGCTTGAAAATCACTTTCATTTGTATTAATATATTTTTTAAGACTAATTTTTTTTTAGTTCAATAAAAACTCTAAAATAGAAAACAAAAAAACAGAATAGATCAAATTCATTTTTTTTTGTTTATTTTACTCTCGTATTGCACTATTTATACTTGATGCATAACATGAACCAAATAAAATAAATTATCGATTGTCGAATACTTATTGTATGAATATAAGTTAAAGAATTATTTAATGATACTTGTGAAGAAACATTTGAAGATTTAATAAAAACTAAATTAAAAGAATATTTTTAAATGAATGTTGTGTTAACAGAAAAAATGATCTTCAAATTTCGAATTGATAGTGTGTCTTGTAGACCGCTCACGTAAACTAGATGATTTAATATTCGAATTTCAAGATAGAACCGAATCAAAAGATCTGACACTTTCACAACAAAACTACTCTCGTTAAGATCATCGATATTCGGAAAATCAGTTTTTCTGTTACTATGACATTCTTATATTGAAATTTTCCTTCTCTAGGAAACATCCTTTCAGAAACCTTCATTATAAGATTTCCATCTAAAGTTTTATCCATAGACAAGTTTCAGACACAATACAACATCCTAAAGGTTTTAGCTTAACCAATGAATAAATAAATGCGGAAACCTCGGATTTAAATCCGAGAGTTATGTGTACTTCAAAAAGTGAATGAGACAGATGAGTCATCCTAGAATGTGTGGACATCCAAATTGTCTTGGCAAAGGGTAATAATAATCGGCCTAATTTTTGGCCTACGGCCTAAGCGAGCCTAAAAATATTATTGGTATGTTTTCCTTTTCGTATGAATCATCTGCAGAACGAAAAAAAAATAACCAATTATTTTCTTAGGCTCACGTAGGTCTTAGGCCAAAAATTAGGCCGATTATTATTACCCGTTTCTTAGGGTAAATCAAGATGAAGAGTTCAAATCTGAGCTGTATCTGCCTCCAA